GGAGACAAAAGTCAAGGCCACAGCAGCTGGGGCAGGATGTAGGAGCCCTGGATTCCCAATCTCAATCCCACAGGACCCAGTGCTCTCTAACCTGTGGCTTTGGCAGGATAGCCGACATAGAAAGCAGGGGCCAGCACTGGTGCCAGCAGCACATCTAGGTCCAGCGACCTCCACTTGGCTATGAACTCTTGCTGATAGTCCTAAGGGATGGAGAGGGGTGAGAGGGGAGGACCACCAGGGTTCACTGTCTGTCAGACATGGTCAGGTGCTGCCAGGCAGAGTGGGGCACACACCAGGAAGCACTCTTGGGCTATGAGCTTCAGACTGAGATAACTGAGGAGGGTCAGGGTCTTCCCAGGGACTGGGGTGAAGGGATGGGAAGGGGAATCTGAGGCTGCAATGATCTGGGGACAGTGCTTCACAGAGATGGACTAGAATAACTTCTGAGGTCATCAAGGTTCCCCATCCAGGTCCAGCTGGGCCTCCCCTGCGGGCTAGGCCAGAGCTCTGCCCCCTGTCTGGCTACTTGGGTCACCACCCAGGTCCTTGTGGCCCCAGCTCCAGCAGCCCCTCGAGGTCTTCCTAGGCACACTTCACCTGCACTGCTGCTTGCTGCTCCCACAGTTTCTTGGGTGTCCTGGGGAAACGAGGAAGACGCTGAGAAGTTCAAAGGTCAGCATGGGAGGGTCTCATTTTATACAAACAGGAACATGATACTCATGGCCTTAGTGTAGGCTGAAAATCAGTTGAAGGGCTGGGAGTGATCCTGTGTCTTGTCCCCCGTCCAAGATACATTGCCTGCCCAAGTTCCCCAAGAGCACACCTCCTCTGGTCAACCTCCCCACTCCACCAGCCACAGGGACTCATGGGCCCCCCCAAAGGCCACAGGCTTCTTCCGCTAATCTTTGAGGCATCCGGTTAGCCCTCAGGTTATACCCAGTACTTCAACTCCAATCCCCACAATGCCAAGCCCAACAGCAAATCCAGAATCTCCTCCCAATCTCACCTCTAACCCTGACTCTAGCCCCACTCCAGTTCCAACTTTAATCCTAACCCTGAATCCAAGTCTATCTTCACCACCAACCCCAACTCAAACTGATTCCAAACCCAGCCAAAATCTAAGCTCCACTTCAGCCCCAGCCTTTACCTCAACCTGACCCCAATTCTAGCCTTGACCCTCAGATCCTAACTCCAAATCAAATCCCAGCCCTCAACCAGTCCCAATCCCACTGCCAATCAAAAGTCTTGATCTAACCCTAATGTCAAGCATGATCCTAAAACCCTAACTAGATTCCAAAATCCAAATAGTTCTCCCCCCAAGTGGACACCACCTCCAGCCATATGCCCCTCACCCAGTTCCCACCAAGCTATGGATGAACTTTGTGGGCCAGAGCTAGACCTGAGGAGACTCACCTCACACCACGAGTCTCTTCCAAAACCTGGCTAGTTCGGGGATCCTAGAGGTAGGATGAGAGGGGGAGACCACCTTTAGAATCCACAGGGGAGCAGCCAGCCTGCTCAGGTTGAAGGTCCCGGAAGGGCTCAGCACACTGACATGGAGCCCTCTGCCCTCAACAAGCCCCCACCACTTCACCAGCCCTGAGCCCCTAAGTACCCCCTGCTCTAAATCCCCTTCCCCTCCTGAGCCCCTTCTCTGGAGCCCCCACCCCGTGAGGGCCCCCTCCTTTATTTCTTGTTCCCCTTTTTGAGCCCCTCTCTGAGCCACCCTCTCCCTCTGGGAGCCCCCCAGCCTCCCTGAGCCCCTTATCCTCTCTGGATCTCCCTCTCACCCAACCCCTGCCTCTCTGAAGCCCTCCCCTTGCATGGCCCGCATTCACTATGTACTTCAGGATCCAGACCAAGAAACGCTTGACAGGGTCTGGCAGGTGGAGCAAACTGACCATCCCCTTCAGGCTGGGGTCCACAATGTCCCCTTCTCTGAGGAGCCAGTCACATATTGGGTCCATTAGAGCCTTTCAGTCCTGGCCTGCCGCCACAGCAGGACCCACCCAATTTCCCCTCCATAGACAAGAGGGAGGTGAGACCCAAAGACACACTTCGGCTCCAGCCCTGCCCCTGGGACTCGTGCATCCTAAAGATGGGGCCTGAGTGGGTGACTTGCTGGATCAGGTCACACTGTTAGCCAGAGGCATTCCAGCCCAGGCCCCCAGTTCACCTCTTGGGGCCCGGATTGGCTTCAGCCCCCCTGCCCCACCCCTGTTCAAGTCCCAACAGATGACGTACAGCTTCTGCAGCAGGGTGGCCCCTCCATCGGCATACAGACCCCCAAAGTACAGGTGTTCGATGGCGTACTCTGTGCGGGGGATGGAGAAGGGGATGACCTGGAGAGAGAGAGGCAGAGGCAGAGCCTGGAGCTCCTCTTCGTCCCCCAGCATTTAAAGGGGGATGCCACACCACCCCTTCATCTCCATCTACCTCGGCTCCTCAGCATGGCATAGGAGGCCAGTGTGGCCGACCCCTCTCCTGCCATGCCCACACCTTCACCCCCCACCCAGCAGATGCGACAGAATTAGAGCAGCCCTCATTTCCTGCATGCTTCACTGGATCCAGCCAGTGCGCCAAGTGCTTGATCTATGGGACCTCGTTTAATCGTCACAGCCACCCCATGTGGTAGAAAACTGAGACTCAGGGAGATTGAGAGACTGGCCCAAGATCACATAGTAAGTGTGTGGTCAATCAGCCATTCTCAAAGAGGAGAGGGGGCCAGGAGAAGCCACTCGGGGCAGGGGAGGTGGGGGTTGGGCTGGGGGTGGGGATTTTCAAGACAGAGAGCCCCTTACAGCCATCTGATGGAGGCAACAGAAACCCAAGGCTAAAGGGATTATAGGAGTGGGTCCCTAAGTCTCCACCACTGAGGGGAGAAGGCACGAAATCTTGATGCCTTCCTTACAGGGTGGGGCTCACCCTGCCCCCACCCCATCGGTCTTCTCCAGGAAGCTCAGGAAAAACACAATTGTCTAAGCAGCCCAAATTCAGACACAACCTCCTTCATCTCCAGGGATGGCCCAGCCCAACGTGCTCATACCAGTCCCACCTCTCTCTCCACTGGGTCTAGGTGGAGCCTACCTGGTGTCCTGCATCTTGGAGCAGCTTGGAGGTGAGCTGCATGGCCCTGGCCATGCTAGGGGATGGCTGGGTATAGCCGTCTGATTCGCAGTAGCCGATTCGAAGGGGCCGGTTACTGGAGTACACCTGGGGTAACAAGGGGCTCAGAGGGGAGACTAGGCTGGGGACAAGGTGGCCTCACTCTCTCCAGGAGCCAGATTTGTAGGGCAGGGCCTTGGGCCAAAGCTGTCCTCACCCAGGGGGAATCTACATGGACTCCCTGAGAGACCCTGGGAGCTTCCCTATATCCTCTGCAGGTCTAGGTGCTCTGGGGAAACCCTTGGAAGAATG